GAAGATAAATCAAGAGAAAACCACTTTGTGTGTCGAGTTACATCCTTAGTTGTTTAACTCATTTCTGCAGCTAATGAAGGTTTTTGCTTAAAGCTCATTTGACATACAAGTTTCCAGGAGACGTGTGTTTGTTGTCTTATTACTGCAGCTCATGCAGCGTGTGAGGAGAACCGGTGGCAGCCTGCAGGTTTACAGACAGACGCAGTGCTTTGATCAGGCAGCGAAGGTTTGTCTGGCTCACACAGACAGAGAGAGAGAGAATCTGAATATCTTCCATTTTCTCCTCACACAGCACGCAGCAGACGATTGGATAACATTACCTTTCTCAAAAACCCTGCGTGCAGCCGCTAGTGGTTTAAAAATCTCTCCCCAGCAGGTGTGGATCCAATTTAAGAGTGTGTAAACAGGTGCAGACGTGTATAAAAGGAGCGAGAACATCAGTGCACTTGAACACAAAAAGCAGCTTAATCCAACCTTTAGCTGGCGGGAAACAATTCATCTGCTTATCATCATTATTATTATTATTATTACTATTACTATTATTATTATTATTACTGGTGGATCATCTCATTAATGGCTTTATAAAGTTCTGTTTGAATAACATGGAAATATTCAGTTTACAATGATGTTAAACAGAGAAAAGCAGCTGAAACTGGTATTTTTGATTGATTCATTGATTGATTAATTGATGATCAAAATGGTAAATTCTCCTTGATCCACTGATTATTAATTATTTCAGCCGTATGATGTTCAGCCATTAACACTGATGGTTACAGCCTGATAAAAACACAAAGAGCTACTCTAACCAGGGCTGCAACTAATAGATATTTTCATTTATGATAAATTGACTGATCATTTATATCATCTATAACATGTAAGAGATCAATATGATTCAAATGTTTTGTTTCAGCCGAAAAACACAAAAATATTCAGTTTACAGTCCAGCAACACAATCTAGAAGCTGCTGAGTCAATATTTGACATTTTAGCTCAATTAAATGATTCAAATGATTAATAAATAAAAGAATTGTTGACTGACCTGTTAATCAACCGGTGGTTTCTGNNTACGTTATAATAAAGACTACAGTATTAAGTAGGCCAATGATAAGGCCCCTGCTCTATATGGGACATCTGAGACATTATATTACACATGATGGGGAAACAGACTTGTTATCAGACTACAAACAGCTCACTGAGTTATTAACCCAGACCCTGAGTGCAGTTTGCCCTCTGGAATAACAGTGCAGGAACACAACTTCACAAGTCCACCATAAACCCTTAAAAGCCAATAATAAGAAGGGTTATATCACTGCTGTTCCTCTGGCACATTGTGTCTCTTACACCTGTTAACAAAAGGTGGTGATGTCCAGCTGCACAAACTAACTCCT